AGTTCAGGCAAGAGTACAAAGGCTTTATGATGCTGTGCACAGATTACTGTCTTGAAATATAATTTGAAAGAGTTAGTAATCATTTGCTGTAACAGAACAGAGAGCTAAATAAATGTGTATGAGCTTCTACAGCTCCACTTGATCGCTCGCCCTCATCCCTGCTGCACAGGTGGGCCAGAAGAACAGAAAACATACCCTCCTCGGGATTTCATCCCCACCTCTAAGGTGGGAATACAGCTTGCTGCTTAGGAGAGCAAAGCCAGATGCTGTCTTTGCAGATGGCCTGCACCAAGGATGCCTGGCCAAGCCTGCATCCAAGCTGCATCAGGAGGAAGTAGCTTCTCCCTGTGCAAAGCCAGACACAGTATGTGCCATGGATCTCCATCTCATACAGAGGAAATGGCCCCGCCATTTAAATTTTCATGCCACTGAACAGCAATTTGCTTTTGCTTTTTGATTTACACCTTTCTGTTTATTCCTATAAGTGAAATTTGGCTGCACCAAACATCTATCATCTTTTTTTCTTGATGGTAAGGCAGTGCACGTCAGGGACAAGGCCAAGAATAAAACACTGGCTGACAACCTTGCAACCACTCCCTATCCAAGGTCCTAGTCAAATCAAGTTATGCTATAACGTGTCTGTGAACAGAGTCTATAACTTCTATGAATTCAGTCCTCGTGCTAGGTTTGGCCATTTGGTCATAATAAATTTGTTTTCTGACCCATTGATTCAATAAACTTAATTTCAAAATTAATCTTTTCAGGCTTCAAACTCACTGGATCCAATTATGAATCCAATAGTTCCTCTTAAAATTAATATTCTGAAACTTAGTGGTCTAACGCTTTTTGCCCTTATGTGCCTCTTTGGTACTTACCTTTATATTAGTTGGCCTATAAAATTAAATATCTTAGGAAGAGAGCATCAAAATGACTCCTAATCTTAAATCTACTCAATTACAAACATTAGTATGAAATGCTCCCTTTCCCGAATCACTTGCTTTTAGTTGGTATTATTATGCACAATGGGTTTGTGTGCTAATTCATTATCTATATTTGACTATGCACACTAGACCAAACAGGAACGAGAATTTAGATTTTGGTTATTTTTTTTTAGTAGTGCTGCTGGTAGTTGGGGGTTTTTCTACATTAGATATAGTCTAAACACTTCACTCTCTGCCTAAAGGGGCAAAAAATTCAATTTTTTCTTCATTTATTTCTAGTAATTTAGATAAAATCACAGTCTGTGGGGAGACCCATTATAATTGCAAAAATATATATATTTCTATTCTTGCAAGGCATGGTTGCTAATACAGATAATTTTAAATGGTCACGACTGCAGGATACTCTGGACAGAATTTGCATTTCTTATGAGAAAAGCAACTTCCAGTCACACAAGGCTTTCTCTTACCAACCTGGGGCATGAGTGGCACGGCTCTGCCATGACAAGGCACGGGGGACGAACGCACATCTCCAGGGCCAGTCAGATGCTAGCTTAGCCCGGTGCACTGCTTCAATGCCTGTGGTGTGAGAGGACTGCGGAAGGGTTATGTGCAGCCGTTTTCCACCCAGCGTGGGGCTTTGGGGGCACCCATGTTTCAAGGCGATCTCACTTTGGTGTGCATTGTTCCTGCCTGTTAATAGGGTGATTACAAAAACCCTAATTCTGAACACCGTAATTGGCATTCAGGAATACGTAATTGGCAGTGTTACTTAGTGGCATTTTGGGACACCAGCAACGATTTATTCTTTACTGTTTAAATAGTCCTATCATTGTAAGTAAGTGCTTATCACAGCACTTCTTGTCTGGGGAAGAGAGGGAGCACTGCTCAGCGTTCTCCATTAGGAAATTCAAGCCTTAAACCAAGTGACCACAAAGTTCTATCAGCTCCCTGAAAAGCAGCAGCTGTACATATTTAACGTAATACAACCCCATATTGTTGCAGAGGTCTGCTGTTTAAAACACACATAAGGCAGGTGAAACGTGACTATTTCACTCCTCTGTTTGAAAAATGAGAAAGTGTGGAGCGGTGTAACTTCTCAAACACATAAATAAGCATTAGGCTCATGGAGGAGACAGGTATGCTGTTGGACTAGCAATAACAGATTAAAGGTCAGCGGTTAAATCTGAAACGATTGCAACCTTGTTCTTTCAATCTTGTTCCTCAGCACTCTGCTCTATTACTAACAGGTCAAGTGCAAAATAAGAAGCATGAGAGTCTGCTGAATTCTCCCACTCCTTTAATTTAATGGCAGCATTTCCCAAATATTCTGTCCCCTGATCATTTAATGACATCAATACATATGCAGTGGGTAGCTATGGATTTCCCTTGCTAGGTCAGATTCTGTATAGCTATTGATATCACAAGTGCAAAGAGGGAGAAAAATTGATTCCGTAGCTTTCTTTGAAGCAGAGACAATGTAGCAACCAACATTATCAATTCTATGTTGTCTTGTTGTTAGTCATATATAGAAAAATCATGTATGCTATGCATTTCTGGATAAAAGATGCTGAAAATATCTAGAACTGCTTAGCTGCAAGAAATTAATAGTGATGTAGGAAAGGAAACCAGTGGGAAGAAGATGCTCTTAGTTGTCTCTCATCAAAATACAAGCACAAGAAGGCATCCAGCAGAGAACACAGGCAATAAATTTTAACTTAGGTAATGGGGAACTTTTGCAGTGTGATGCTTGAGTGATTGAAATCATGGGCATAGACTACTAGTGCTGATTCCTACTGCTCCAGGCTCAGTAACAGGTTTAACTACACCTACACTTTATATTAATACGTATTTATTTTAGTAGGGGACCTAAACCTTCTTTTGGGATCTAGGCTATCAGATTAGAGATAACACACCATCAACTGGTTGTACTTTCTCAACGTTTCCTGAGTTATCTGGTGCTCATCACTGCAGTACACATAGGACCATCTAACTAGGATCACCTGCAAACGCTTCATTCTTAAAATCTATGAGGGCTGCTCTGAAAGTAATACCTCCTATTGTATTATGTTGGCCCAAAATGTCAGAGGTGGATGTCGGTTGTATGGCAGTAGAGGGTGAACCTTCCCACCAATATCCCATGTTGTTGCCATGTAAAAGATGGCAGCAGAAGGGCACTCTGAAACAATGGTGTCTGACATGGATGTGTGTATAACGCAAAGGCATGTCACTGAATTCCTCCATGTAGAAAAACTTGCACCTATTTACATTTGTTGATGCTTGCTGAACACTGGAGATGGAGATCAAGCAATGGATGTGAGCACAGTGAGGTGGTGGCGCCTTTCAGCAGTGGCAACAGCAACATGAAAGACAAGGCCCATTCCAGACAGGCATGCAGATTTTTATGAGTGCGGCATACATGTTCTTGTTCATGGCTAGCAAAAATGCATAGTTAATGGTGGTGGCCATGTTGAAAAAGAGCATTTCATAGCTGAGAATTTCCTCTATTAAACAATGTTAACATGCTCTTTGTATCTGTTGTAGTTTCCACAGAAATAAATAGAAGGTATTACTTTCAGAGCAACCTAAGCATCTAACTCATGCCAATTTGTGACTCAGAGTCATGGGCACATCATCTGAATGTGATCTGGATCCTGTTACACAACAGTGTCTTTACACGCTTTAAGAGACATTGAACTGCATATGCATGCATCTACATGTGTAGGTACATGGGAGCTTGTTCTGAAATGAGGAGCATCCTAAGAGCATGTATTTCCCTATTCTACATCTCTAGAAAGAAGGACGTAAGCTCCACTCCTGGCAGAAGGATCCATGTGACTTTAACTTGCCTGTCTGCTCCAGTAGACATTATGAGCTTGATTCTCCAAGACTGCCACTGAAATTCCACTCTACTGATTTTTGCAACCTAATTCTTCAGGCACTTTTTCTTGTTGTTGTTTCGGCAGGATGATGTGACCCAAATTTCTAAAGGAGGGTAATCTGCTATAACATTACATCTTGATTCTAGGATCTATATGTACTTATGTGTTATTCCCACACATTTAGCATACTAGACTTGAAGAACTGAATTTTATTGCAACTTGGCAGGCTTTGAATGTTTTGTAGCATCAGGGAAAACAGTATCATTTAGAAAGCCAAAATTTGAAGGATTTTTTGAATAATAAATATTTGTAAGACCATAAAGACTATCCAAAGACTCCTCTTGCACTAGTGAGTCCCAAAAGGCCACAGTTACTTTTTCAACAACTACAAATGCTGGAGCATTCCTATGTTATTTTTCTTTAAATGGCATTTAGCACATACTGCTGCAGAAAGACAGCTGCTGAAGCAACCTAGAGGGCATTTTCAAGCACTGTACTTCAGCGATTACAGCAATTTTTGTAGGCATTCAATATTAGGATTACATTCTACTTTTAGACAAAGTTAAATTTAAATTGAGTAGGAGGGGTTTTCATGGTACTTTAGATGTTCTAGTATTGCTTACCTCAAACCAAAAATGTATAGTGTCTGAATTTTGCGGCCATGATGATGTTAGGAGCCACAGTACACTTGAAAAGAGCAAAACTACAGCTCACTAGCATCAGGCAGATGTCCTCTGCCACAATGGGACCCAGACTTAGGCTTTAAAAGCACAGCCATGATCTCACTGCCATGGGACTTGGTGACACAGCTCCCACTGCCTGGTAAGGATGAGGCTGTCGCACACAGCTACCCTCTCCTATATTTGCATGATACAAATTAGTGGTGTGCGTGCAGCAACCATCCTGAAACCCTAAGGCCAAACTGGGACTGGTATACTCCTGTTGAGGTTTATCTAAGCCCTCTGATTCTCTAAAAAACCCATGTGTCTAGCTGAAGGAAACTGAAAGAAACAAGGTTAGTAAAGGGCTGACAGTCCAACAGACAATACAGATGGAAAGTGAGGGACTGGGTGAAACAGAAAACAAAAGAAAAGAGCTTCTGTTAGATGCTAAATGAGACCCAGGCTGGGCCAGTTAAAGCTATGTCTATGCAGGTTACATCTTTCCTTATTTCTCTTACCTTGTTTCTCTTGAAATATGCTCTTCGGCAAGCTGCAAAGCACTTCTCGCTGCAGAAGCATTTCACTTCACTTCCCATACTCAGGGAATAGCGCTTGATTCCAACTTTCTGGCACCAGGCACACATTATTTGTACATTTGACACATCATCTTCTACAACAAAAATATAAGAACAATGTTTACATGAGATGAAAGCACCTTCCTCAGACATCTGCACACTTACTCTTAGCGCAACCTGCACCGGCTCATCTTATTTCTAACCTCCTTACCATTTGGGAACAGAAATGTGCCTGCCTGCCTGCCATTACCAGCTCATTCACAAGCAGCTGATGACCTGTGCCAACCTGGCTCAGTAGATTAGCAGAGCTTCGAGGATGGCTGGAAAAGATTATTAGCTTAAAAACGATGCATTGCTGAAAAGCTCTGGAAGCCTCATGAGCTTTTTTGCATGTATAAGGGTGCACAAGTCTTTATTAAATAAGCAACCCAGAACAGAGGCTTAGTAAGTCCTGCTGCCTCACTCTTGTTGCTTACAGTTCTGTGCAGTGAGCCCTTCAGATATTCTGCTCAGCAAGCTGGTGACAAAAAGCATCTGGGTGGTACTGCACCAAAGCAGGTCTCTAACAAAAGCTCTCTGTTAAATAAGAAACGAAACATCCCATTGCAGTGCTGTTTTGAAATAATGACTGATGTAGAAAAAGAGAGCTATCATTGGAATATAGCAGTCACCAAAACCTGCACTTGAGCAAGAAGGGAGATGCAACACTGGTGAGGTCTGCCAGGTTACTTCTCTGTCTTTGTGCTCATCAGCCAAATCTGAATCCAGAGCCCTTGAACCTCTTTCAAGGTCCTCTCAATCACGTGCTACAAATACGAGGTGTATGCCTTCTGAGATGTACAACTGGAATACTGCAAAAGTCCTAACAAGGTTCTTGTGCATTCATCATCTTTACCCCACTTCACAGACAGGGAATAGTTAAGCCTCTTAGGCAGATGACTGCTGCAAGTTAGCAGGAATCTTTTGACTTAAATCCCAGAATTCTTCAGTTCTGATGTCCAGTCTATTGTACAGCGTGACCTTTCAGTTACAGGCAGCTGCCATTGTCTAACTGCTGGAAAAAAAAGTCCCCGAAGACTAATTGTTAAAGCAGTGCCTCGTCCCCGAGCAGCAGAGAATTCATGGCTCAGAGAGTCTGTCATGCAGCCATCCCATTTCCCTATAAAGGATTTGTTTTCGAAGCTACGCTGTCATCGTTCTGTAAAATTATTGGCAAACTAATTTTTAGCGGAGTGATTTGGCTCCTTTCCCCAGCTCTCATAACTCAGAACTACGTGCTGCATTTTATTCCACCTTAACGGAATAAATACTGCCAGTTTAATAACTTTTTTTCCTTCTGCAAATTGTGTTATGATTTATAGCTACAAATAAAATTGTACAACGTTAAAAAAAAATGACCTTTTAGTTTTAATCAGACTGTCTACCTTTAAAGCTGTATTTAAGGCTAAGTTGTAACATAGATTTGTGCTTAATGCATTTTATCATTTAGTCTTTAGAGCAGGATTTGCCAATATTATAAAAGCTGTAATATATTGAACACCAAGGGAAATCACAACAATTTGGATAGGATAACCACCAGCTATACGGAGGATAAAGAGGCCTGCAAGCACCTGCCTGCACCAGCCTGGAGCTAACTATCCCACCAGGGCACAGCAGCATTTCTCTCCATTCTTATCTTGACCAAGCTTTCACAAAGGAGCCCTGATTCAGCTGTGTTTGCACCAAAATAAAGCCATTCCTCACAGGCTGAACTTACTCTTTGAATACATCACAACAAGTGAAATTCCCATGAGCCAAAGGAAACAGCCAGCAACCCCTTGTTTCAGATAACAGCAGCATATATTCTCCTACTGACAAGAAGTATTTTATCTCCAGAAAGTGGAAGATCTACCAGAGATAACTTTATAACAGCCTTGTTACTGGTGAGAATAACTGTCTAATGACAGTGAGGAAAGAAAATTACGGAGCTGAAAGAGAATTCACGGGCTAAATAGGTGCTGGAGCGCCTTGTTTTGAAGTAGGCTGGCTCGTCACAGGCATAGACCTAAAGGAGAAGCACAGAGCTCTGACACCAAGATTCCCAGCAGTCTTCATGCACAACTTAACAGGGGAGATACATAAGCTACCATTCAACTCCTGACCACTGACACACACTGACTGCCTCCTGGGGATGATCAGAACGATCACAAAATTGCTCAGTTCCAATTAAAGAGCATCCCAGCAGCAACTGTTTAAAGGGGAAGGCCACATTACAACTTCCCTGCATCAGGTTATGCAGGAGAGTAAAGCTCAACCCACCTCCTTTTGCCAAAGGCTCCCTTCAATACAGACCCAGGCAAGAACAGCAGTGGCAAGCAGAGACACCTGCTTGGTCAAGCTATGGTCTCCTCATGCCCTGCAGAACTTTGTTACTACCTCAAGGAGAAGACTTTGAAGAAAAAACACTTAATATGTGATCCATGGAACTGACAGTCAATAAAACAGCAGAAAATGGCCCATCATCTACCTCTAGCTGCTGCCTGCACCTCCAGGAAAAGACAGCTGATATCCGGAAGGCATCATCAATATTCATCAAAATGTTCATTGTTTTGAAAAGGAGAAAAGTGAAAGTGAGGGAAAGAGCCTGCCTAAATACAACTAACTTCAATTATTTCTCTATTCCATTCCTTGCTCCCTCTACCACCAAAAAATAGCCACACGCTATACAGTCCTTATCATAGTAACAGCAATAATAAAAGTAGATGCCTTTTCCATCAGTAAGGCATAGGAACACTGCAACGTGAGGATGAACTGCATATAGCTGTGTAAAGCAGCCAGCAAGTAGCAGTACTTAGAAGGGGGCAGAGGGCATGCAGATTTTTGATGCAACTGCATCTTCTTGTAATGCAGTGTATCAGGTGAGAAAGGAAAACTTCCAATATCATGTGACTAATTCTCCATGGACCGTCAACCAAAGTTCTGTGGGAGGGAAGAATTTGCTATAAAACCAACTCCTTTCTTTTAACTTCCAGTGAAGCTGCAAACATTCCCAATGGGTACAGAGCCATGCCTGGCTGACATAGCAGGGTGTGTGGCTGACAGCTGTGGACAGCCATAACAGTCCAGATCAGGCAGTGTGCTTTCTTCTTGACACTGGTTGCAGCAAGGATCTGAGCAGAAGCTGTGAAAGCACTTGAGGGATGTTTCACTACAGAGCATTAAGCTTAGTGACCGGAAAAGAGGACTGCTACGTTAACAGAAAAGTTATAGTCCATGTATTTCTACTATTGCAATCCACAGCACTGGGAAGCAATAAGCTTAAAAATCCATTAAGGTTGTGTGAAATAAGGAAAGCCAAAGGCTAGTGATTTAATTGCAGTCTTCCTAAACACAAACTGGAATAATCCAAACTCACTAATTCAAATCTACCATTCAAGACTACTCTCACTTTTTCACAGACCTTTGTCTCAGATGGCCAAATTCTTTAAAAATCACTTTACCAGACTCTCGTCCTTTCAGGAAAATCTATCAAATCCCAGTATCTGCAACACTCAGCAAAAAAAAACCTGGGACAAGAATGCAGGGCAGCAGGGAATTTCAAATTGAGTAGCTTGAGACTGCATCCTGAATCCTTCTTCTAAACTCTTTTAGGCCAGGTCTGCAAAGCTGATTCGCAATAATTGTGTTGGTGTACTACATCAGCAATGCTTTCCTGTGCACACAGACAAACTTTGCTGGTAGCCTCGCTGTGGCTATCAACTTGACTGGCATGAGCTCACCCCAACAGCATGCCCACATCCATCATACGAGCTCGCTGAAGCAGCTCTCTTGATGAAGATCATTCAGCATCACTTTCAGGACTCACACAGCTAGGCTGACGCATGGTTTAAAGTACAAAAATAACATCTACAAGTCTTAGGACAGATCGGAGAGGGTGGTGAGGTGCTGGAATGGGTTGCCCAGAGGGGCTGTGGATGCTCCATCCCTGCAGGTGCTCAAGGCCAGGTTGGACGGGGACCTGAGCAACCTGATCTAGTGCTTGATCCAGCAGTTGGCAACCATGCCTGCAGCAGGGAGGCTGGAACTTGATGATCCCTTCCAACCCAAGCCATTCTATGATTCTATGATCATTTTGAAGTGAAAGCAAATTTTTCTTAATCAACTGCATTTTTTTTTCCCCTGTGGGCTTGCTTTATGAACTGCTCTTGTACTATGCTGAGTATGTTCTCAGATTTGTCACACCTATGAGAGGTAGGATGAAGGGGAGCTGGTATACTGACACTGAATAGTAACGGGAGAGCTTTCAGCAGAATATCCACACAGCTACTCCCTATAATCACATCAGGTAATAGGAAGACACATTTCTTTCACATACAGCACAAGACCTGAATTTCCAGCCTCTCCTTTTGTGAGTTCTCCACTCTTCATACAAAGCATTGTAAGAAGAGCTATTGTGGGAGTTGAAATGCCTTGCTTTTAGTGCCTCTGGGTTGTGTCATTACAGGTGGAAGAAGCACTCCCTGCACCCACTGCACAGATACTATTCAGATACATCTCCTTGTGGTTTTTTGCCTGTGTATTTTTCATAATGAACAATGCAATAAACATGGTGTGTTTGCAGTGTTAAATCATGTTCCCAAAGGGAGCAGTTTGTATAACAAGATAAAATTATCACATTATAATAACTAAATATGCATCAGTCTAGAGCATGCTCCAATTAATCATCAAAAGTTTGCACCGCCTCTTTAGGTCTTAATTAAGCAGAATGTTTGGTGTTTTTTTTTCCTTCCAACCAGTGTAAAGGAGCTGCAGAAAACTGTTCCTCTTAAAGCCAATGAGCAGCAGTTTAGACTAATCGATCTTATGTGGAAACATAATTTGGAGAGGTGGAGAGAAGGGGAGGAAGCCAAAGAGTACAATAGAGCAAATTCATCATGGATAGCTCTGTCCCTTTATCTAGGCAAACAAGCACGGCCTGCAGTGCTTAGAAGGCTGATCCTAAAATCCCTGCAATTCAGGAGTTAAGTCCCAATCAGTTTGCTAACTTTAAGACTGCAGCATTCTGCTAACACTGTTTTGAACTCTCTGATATGCATTTTCAAATTTAATTCTTGTT